TAAAACTATATCCACAGATGACATGATCTTATATGTACAAATCCTACCAAATGTATTTTTAAAGCTACTAGAGCTAATATGAATTCAGCAGAATTGCTGATGTATCAACAGGTAAAAATCAGTAGTATTTCTAACTGGTAATAAAATTTCCACAAGAAAATCAAGATAAAAATTCCTTTTACAATGGCATGAAAATAATAAAATATCAGGCTGGGGATTTAGCTCAGTGGTTCCGCTGCCTGCCTTGCAAGTGCAAAGACCCAAGTTCAATCCCCGGCACCAAAAATAATAATACTAATAAATAATAATAAAAATAATAATAATAATAAAATATTTCAGGAAGAGAAAATTAACCAAAGAGGTAGAAGATTTGTACACTGAAAAGTACCAGATTACTGGGGATTTAGCTCATTGGTGCCACCACCTGCCTCCAAAGCACAAGGTCCAGAATTTGATCTCAGGAACCAAAAAATACCAAACACTGCTGAAAAGTTTAAAGATCTAAGTAAATGCAAAGACACTCACAGTCACAGATTAGAAAACATGAATATTATTAAGATACCAATATTCAAATTGATCTATCTATTCAAGGCAATCCCTGTCAAAATCCCAATAGTTTTTTGTTTTGTTTTACAGTAAGGAAAATCTGATTTAAAATTCCTAAACAAGGCGTGGTAGCACAGGCCTGTACTCCCAGCACTCAAGAGGCTAAAACAGGAGGATCAATGCAAGTCAGCCTGGGGCTACATAATGAGTCCAAGGCCAGTTTGAGCTATATAGCAAAACCTTGTCTCACCAAAAAAATAAAAATAAAAATAAATCATAGAATTACAAGGGATCCTGAATATCCAAACAAGCTTAAAAAGAAGAGCAATGTTGGAAGTGTTATACTTCCTGATTTACAGTAATCACAAGAGTACCATACTGAGCAGGAGGTAGCCAAGAAAATGGGAAAAAGGGGATGGTCCACCTCGGAGCCTGATTCTGGGCTAGATCTACCTTCTGAGTTAAACCAGAGCCCAGGACCAGGGCTAAATACAATGGGAGAAAGAAACCGGGTAACCCAGCCTATACCCAGCAGGCCTCAGGGCACACGCCCAGGGTCTTCTGCAAGCCTCATCCAACTCCAGCCCTAACGGCCCAGTCAGACTCTGCAGATTTAACTCCCTCGGCCTTTGATGCCATGACAGTTCCTTCAACAGCCACAAAAGGTCAAAAGCTCCACTGCCCAACAGAGGGGCCAACCCAAACTGCTCACTGGCAAGAGTCAAACCTCAATCCCACCACAAACGCCAACTCTAATGCTCTAAACCCTCAGCACCAAGACCCCCTCAGGCTGCACTGTGAATTTCAAATAAATCTTTGATCTTGCTGCTCCTTTTGGGTGTCCTGCTCAACTGTTTGTTCAAGACACCAAGACCCTGGAAAAGACCCCTGTTTGATAACAACACAACACTGTATGATATTGCCAAAGGGACAGATCAATAATATATGGAATCAAATCAGAAAACCTCCATGGTCAATTGATTTTTTTTTTTGATACAGGGTCTTGCTACATAGTTCAGGCTGGCCTCAAACTCACAGAGATCCTCCTGCCTCAGCCTCCCAAGTGCAGGGATTACAGGTGTGCTCTACCACCCCTGGCTCGGTCAACTGATTTTTGACAAGGGAGAAAAACTCATTCTTCATCAAATGTTTGAAAAGCCAACAATCAGAACAGCCCTGGAAACATCAGAGGAATGTCTGTGCTCAAAGGAATAACAATAATTCCTCACACTGTTTCAACAAACACTTGGGGGGGGGGTAATGGTGATTGAACCAGGACCTTCATGCTGTGCTGCATCTCCAGCCCTTTTTCATTTTTTATTTTGAGACAAGTATTGTTAACTTGCCCGGGCTGGGCTTGGACTTCCAATTTTCCTGCCTCAGCCTCCCAGAGTGCTGGCATTACAGGTGTGCACCCCCACACTCCAGCTAGGAATACTAGACAGCCGAATTCATCATGGGATCTTCAAATAGCTGAAAACAGGAAATCTGTTCTTTCAAAAGGCAAGTTGACTTTACCAGCGAAGCAATGGCAGGAGTCTGTGGTAAGTCCCTATCTCAAACTGAGTCCTGGCACTAACTGTCAAGTAAAAAGACAAACCTTAATTTAGGCAAATCAAAATTTTGAGATTATTTGTACTACTGAAAGGAAGTCATGGTGCTGCAACAGGTGAATGTGTAACTGTCAAAAAAAAAAAAAAAAGACCTAAGGGGAGTGAAGATGTAGCTCAATGGTAAAGCGCTTGCCTAGCACACACAAGGCCCTGGGTTCAATTTCCAGCAACAAATCTAGATTTAGGTAAAGAGTGAATCAGTAGAAGAGATTATTCCAAAAAGAGAGATTAATAGGCAGTGGGGAGGGAGGCACTAGTGCCCCAGGGGAGACGGCCCGGACCTAGGTCTACAACTGACTCACTGCTTAGACCGAAAAGGTAAGACCTGGGGTGGGGAAGTAGGTTAAAAGGAAGGAGGAAGAACTGGTCGGACAGCTTCTGAGAGAACGTTTCCTTCATCCCTGGATCAACCTACGCTCGAGTGGTGGAAGAAAAATTGCTTCCTACCTGAGCTGAGAGGGTGAGTCCGAGTTTAAGGGAATGAGGGGAGAGACACCAAATCCAAGTTAGGTCAAGATGGGCCGCGGTTACGTTACCAGAGCTAGACTAAGTTCAACCAGTCATTTAGGAGGCAAAGAATGGGAATTTGAGCGGAGCCTGGTGACCCAGGTCTGCAATCCCAGCACTCTAGGAGGCTGAGGCTGGAAGGCTGCGGCGACAAGTTCCAGCCAAGCTTGGACAATTTAGTGACGACTTCAGAGAGAGGGAAAGAGGGCGACAGCTCAATGCGAAGTCGGGGGTTCAATCCCCAGTATCAAAATAAAAAAATTTTAAAAAGGAATTTGGAGGGTCTATATCTGACCTTGTCATGGATAAACCAGAGGCACCGGGGCGGTCGCGAAATCCTACGGGGAAGGGTGGCCCTTGGATAAAAACCCTTTCAGGAGCACAGAGGGGTGGGGTAAATGTTTAACCGTCACTCTCCAGACGACAGGGTCGAGGTCAAGTTCGACGGGGCCACCACGAAGCGGGGAAGTCCCTCCACGGGTTCCGTCGGAGGCTCAGACGTGCAGAGGTAAGGACGCAGACTCCCGAGCTCTCAGGTGAGCCCTCACCGAGCAACCTGCGTTTCCCGCGCCCTCGACGGCGGTTGCAAGCAGGTGCGCCTGCGTGAGGAGGCCCGGCCGCCATGAGCGCGCAACTGGAGGCCTGAGGCGCCCGGCCTG